CCATTATGTTCAAGCGCTTGCGTTGTAAGTAATATTGTAGACCAATAATAATCAATGAGGTTCTATGATTTAATTCTCAGTTATTATTAAGGAAGATATTGACAACTCAGAAGAAATTCTTTACGATAAGCCAAGATGAAATAGAAGAAAATCTTTCCTGTCCTTATAAATAACTGTTCTTGGAATCAGTCAAGCCCTTTTTATTGGAATTTTTAAAATTTCACATAAAATCTTTTGCTACTTAAAGTTTTTTCCAAATCACCCTATTTAAGTGGAATATTTCTCTCATTGTTCTTACATAAGAGAAATTAAATAAGAGAAACATTTTTCTTTGTGATTTTTTGTGGCTTCTGGATTTCTTTATTTTATATGCTGTTATAATTATTACTCTTATCCTATGTACTATAATTCTTACAAAGTCAATTAATATATCAAGCACAGGCGGGCTGTTTTGTTGTTTGCTAGCTTGATAGTGTGATATATTTTTCTGTTAGCTCACAAAATTTAATTAAAAATGAATTATAAAACGTTTTTGGTGTCGTCGTTAATTCAAGCATCAGTATCTACATTTATTTTGTTCATTTATTTAGATAAAGTTTGTAATTATAAGTAAATATTCAATTGAAAGGAAAAGTTGTTTATAATGGAGAATACAATTTAAATGTCTTTTAACATGACCCATTTTATAATTTATTGTGTGTATTCTGTACTTTCAATATACTGTACTATACTTACTATAATTTACACTTAACTTCATAGTAGTTATTTAATATGTCCATGTTCGTTTCGTGGCCACACAGTCTCATGTAACGCCACAAGTATGATTCCATAAAACCGATTTCCATTCTCAAACACCAATGTTAATGTGTTGTGATGTTCAACGTGAAACAATTTATCGTACAGAAATAAACTGAGGGAATAAATACAACGAGTTGAATGAAAACAGTTCTTAATTAATATAAAAACTTTTTATCTTGTTTGAGATTTAATAATTACTATTGGAATACTTTCAGAACTGGTTCAATTTAAGAGTATAATTAAAAAGGATGTTGTCATTTCTGACTTTACTTATACAATTTCTTTAAACATTTCTGTTTATAATTTAAATTTTATTTGCTACATAATTTTTATTATATTTCCTAAGACTCAGTAAACTTTTTAATGTATTGACTATTACAGACTTACTTATAATAGCTGATTCTTCTGAAGCAACTTGAATTCTCTAGTTGACTTGAATTCTTCGTATGCATAAAAACAATTTTTTTTTTATCTAAACACGAAAAAAATAATTAAAACTATAAATTCATTGTTTGTGTTTATATTTGAAATGGGAATTTATTTCATGTAGAGAACTTACACAAATATATCATGAGAAAAGTCACAATAATGATATAAGACATTTTATATTAAATTTGTTGACGTGACAGCTCACGACAGTTTTGTGATGTGAAGCTACTCCTACTGTTTCTTTCGTGTGTTGGTGATCAAATTTAAAGGTCATTGACTTCTTTAGGAGACTCATAAATCCGTCAGTTCCATCTGATTCATTTTGACAGCAAAAGTGCTCCAAAAGTTTACTCAAGTTAGTGTCTTATAAGTAATCGATAAGTTACTAGTAATTATTTTTGATCACAAAATACTAACAGCCCAATCTGCAGTTAGTTAGTTGAAGATAACTGAACGGAACTGAACTTGGACTTTGACAAATTATTATGTCTAAATATACCTAAATAATTACCTAAAAATCCTTTTTTCTTTCAAGCTGTTTCAAATCATATAAAATATAAAGAAAAAAGCTGAAATTAAAAAATATCAACAGTATTTTTAAATGTGCTCGAATACTTTGAGATCAAAGTTCTTTAACATTTTATAGAAAATATGTCTAATAAAACTCATGACAAAGAATGCACCAGCTTTCTCAAATAAACACAAATTTTTATTGAAACTTCTCTAAACTTGGAAGGAAATACATAAATATCTTACATTAAATTCCGATTTAAACTCTACAACACATGTACATATTTTTGACAGAAAGCCTATAATATACATATGTAAAATTGCTTTGAGCTGATTTTTACCAAACCGCTCGTAACGTATGTACATGTGTACAGACTGTCCTATATTGAAATTTAAAAGGAAATTAATTGAATACACCGCAGGAGTTTTCTTTCAACACGTACTCTTGAGTCGGTAATTTTAATTAAACGTTCAAGTATGGAGATGCGATGTTGGCTGACACTCCAAAGACTCGTTACGACACATATTATAACATACAATTTAAAAGAGATTTTTCTTCTTTTTAAAATCTTTTAGATCCTTTGCTTGTACCCTTTAACATTTGCACTAGGTTTGAGGTTTTAACTACGTCTTTTTTATCGAACTTTTTATGCAAATAAAGATTTATATAAAAGAAAATACGATGGCAGATTACAGTGAAACAAAAAAACACTAAGAAATAAACTTTACGACTTATGTGACGTAACTATAGTAAATAAAGATTTACTATTTGTTTTACTTTGATTACTTCTAGAAAGGATTCATATAATTAAATCCTTTTTAGAATGAAACAGACAGTTAAAAGTTAATACAAAATATGGGTTTAATTTCATTAGTAATTAAATACTAACGTTTAAACTTTAGCTAAGGTTTAAAATTATATCAGGTTATACTCAAAGTTTATTCTGATTAAAAATCTAGGTATTGTCTTATTAAATACATTTTGAACAAAACAAGCAAAATATTTTTTTGTAAGAGTTGTAGTTCTTGTTTATTATGTTCCTCTGAAAGAACATTTTAAACAGAGTCCTATTAATAATAGATAACTTACTGGTCTTGAATTAAAATCTAAATGAGTAATGTGGAATGAAAAATTCATGACCGGAGTATAATTTTAAATTGAACTTTTGTGACACGGCGTCTCTTATTGAGGTTTGTTATCTAAAAATATTATCTTTCATTTTGATTCATATTTTAAAGTTAATCAGAATTTTTTTGAGTATTATACAAAATGGTGCATGACAGTTGGTTTTAAATTAAAACCACAGGCCTCTGTATAATTTGAGAGCAAATTTCTGAATAAACCTGTTCATATATTTTTTTTGGCAGGCGCTATCAACACTGAGGCTTGTGAATAAATATAAAATTTCAGCATATTATATTAATGGCAATCTTTTGATATAAGCCCATATTCATAAAAAAACGTTAATAAAGCTTTTACTTTTATTCACTTTTATAATTATAAAATATTCAGAATCAATTATTTACTTTAAAAGATAACATTTAAACAAAATTATTAAGTATCTGTTACTCCATTTACTTGACTCAAATAATACTTTGTATTAATATATATTGACTTACTAAGAAGTGCTTTTATATAATAAAATAATACAAATAAAAAAACAATATAGGTGCTAGAACAAATGGCAAGTTTATCGCTAGAAGCAATGTATTTCGAAACAAACCGTACGGTAGAGGAAACATACACTACATACACAATTAATAATATCATACACTATATTTATACATCTTAAGTGAGATACACTACTGGTTTTCTGGTTTATCAAATTTGTATGTGCGTAAAAAGACTGGTTTATGGTAGTAAGAACTCTGAAAAGGAACTTTGAAAGGAAGATTTAAGGGAAGTCTAGTCATTTAAAGTAAAATATTGCATTTTTGAATTGTCAAATTGAAATAACTATCACTCAGTATAAGCTACATTTATCTATATAAAACATAAGAATTTTTCCATCGAGTGACTACTGCAAATGTTTTTAATTCAATTTATAACGTGTGACAAATCCAGAACATTTTATTTAAAATGTCATCAAAGACACGAATGTATTCAGTAAGTTGTAAATAAAAACAGAAATTGATGGTTTTAAGATAAAACTAATATTTATAGAAACTCAATGACTAGGAAATAAGATGTGCCCAGAGACACACTTTAACGATACGAGTTATCTAAAATCTATGCATGTGTTTCATATCGAAAGATCACTTTTGCCTAGTAGAGAATTTTAAGGGTTACCATATAATGAGAAAAAATGCCACAAGTTCGAGTAGGAAACTAACATGACACTCTCGACTGTGAATTAAGATTTCTATAAAAAATAAATCTATTTCTAAATGTAATTTGATATCAAAAATAAAAAAGAAAAAATATCAAATACAAAACAATTGATGGCAACAAACTCAAAGGGAATATGAAGTGGTTTCTCATCACAGTACCTGGGATTAGGGGATTACTACTTCTCATGTCTTATTCCTTCGTATATCAACAAAACTTTTATGGAATCATTAAACACAACATTTTTCTAAGAACTACTACACGAACGAATTGTATGAAAATCCTATTATTTTTAGGTTCTTTGTTTCTTTCGCAAAATGACTTTTAATAAAGCAATATATCTCAGAAATAAAATGACTAGGAATAATACGAAAGCCGCACATAAGTCTGGCGGAGGTATAACAATATGAAATGAACAATAAACACGTATTCTGTAACTAATAAAGATAATAGATAGGAACACTTAATAAGTTATTTCATTAAGGGGTTTTTCTTTTGTTTCGAAAACAATGCTATTCTGCAATAAAGCACACAGGGAGCTAGCAATATGTCCCAGAGCTCGGAATGAACGGGCGCCGTACTCCAAAGACGAAGACTCCCTACACGTCTAAAGACTATATTATCTTTGAAGGAGACTTGAATAACTTAATGCGCCTTATTTTATCCTTATTGTGCTATTTTGTGTCTTAATGTTTTGCTCTAGATATTTCTAAACGTAGCTCATTTGCTTGCTGAGGAAGTTTGGTAATTAATATAAAATATTTATGTATATAAGTATTTATTACATATGTACAATTTATTTTTACAAAATTCGCTGTGTATATCACAAATATAGAAAGAGAGTTTGATTGAGGCTTTTGGTTTATTTGTCATGTGAGCTCTCTCGAATGGCTTTATCATAGAGTATTAGAATTGAACACAATAAGGCCTTCATTTAATGGTGTCCGTAGTAGCCAAGTCCGCCAAGACCGCCAAGTCCGCCGTAACCATGGCCGTGACCGCCATAGTAGCCACCGTAACCGACGACTGGGGCGGCGTATCCGCCGTGACCACCGTAGTAGCCATATCCGCCTGGAATATTAAGTATTGTTAAATAAGTTTAATTTATTCATAATAAATATGAAAGTATTTTGTAATACTTTTCATATCAAAGTAAGTTGATTTTTTAACAGAGAATAATTTAAAAATACTGAAACCTCAACTTTTATATTAACAAATGCCTTAAATTTACTTATTTATATATAAATAATCTATCCATCTATCAAGTGTATAGATAAATACTAACCAAGGCCGTTGTATCCGCCAAGGCCAGAGTATCCGCCATATCCGCCGTATCCACCAAGTCCGCCGTAGCCTCCGTGAGAGGTGGTGTAGGCAACCTTACTGACTGCTACTGGAGCTGTTTAGATACAAAGAAATATATTTAATTATTATTTATTAAGTTACTATAATCAAGTCTGGCTAATTACTTTTCACTTGGATTGTTTTAATCAAGTAGATAAATAACATTATTGATTCGTCATTGTGTTACAGGTGACTATAATCAAAGAGACTTCACATGTCTTCAAAATTATTCTGATATTGCATATGGATATGGAACATCTAGCAGGCATATTAATACATCTTCTCTGTCAGATACAATGCGAAATAAAATGGAAATTTAGTTTAAAAATAAGTAAAGTACGCTTCATATGATGATTTATTCTTTGCTGAAGACGAAAACTATACATAGATTTTCCTTCAAAATATTTATTAACAAAAATAGAAACAGAATTTTATCGACTATTTTTTTATATTCTGAAATAAAATACAATTTATTTGTTTTTTATGATCGATTGTTAATGATTCATAGATCAATGATTTGGAAATATAACAGATTTAGACTAGCGGGGCAGTGGAGCGCGACTACCTTATAACATTTCAATGTTAAGGTCATTTAGTTTTATACAAAAACACAATATTATATAATTTTTTAGTCCAGTAAATAGTTTATAGGCCGCAGTTACTTGTTTTAAGGACTTATGAAGAGGACTCATTACAATTTATGGCTCGGCTAATGAATTACTTGATTTCTTTTGACGACAAAGTCTTTGTAAAGTTGATTATTACTTTATAGACGGAGAAATTCGAAAGGATCACAGTTTAATTGGTGCAAAAAAAACCTGTTAATTGGACGGCTGATATTTCCGATTTATTATAGAATAGAAATAAAAAGAATAATTCTTTATTGTGACAGACTTTTAGGACATACGGCGACGCATTCATCCGTTGGTAATTTTCATTAAAGTGTACGATATGAGGAAACTGTAATTACTTCGATGTGTGCCAAGGAAATCACATTTCCCACGTCCCTAACACGCGACACCGCCGGCCGTTCCTATAGCAATCGACATCATAAACACCCATTATTATAATATTATCAGCGTGTGAACCGCTTCTTTAATCAGTGTTTTCTATATCAGATAAAACCTTTTGAGTTTTACTACAAAACAATATGTTTTGTGTCAAGATGAGGTTAGTGTACTCTTGAATAAAGTATTAATAACACGTTTCCATGACATCTTTTGATAATTATAATATATAGAAATAAAACTACCTCGATACTCAAGAGTTAGCGCACATATAAGTTGCGATTATAAATGAAAATTGCAATGTTTTGAGCATTTGAATTTTGTATAAAGTATTTACCTTGGTAATGATTACTAGAATTAACAGTTTCTTAATTTTTTTAATTCCTAAAAAAGGTTTTCACATAATTTTTCATAATTTTCATTAAATAAATTTTACCTAAGTGGAATTCAGAATTAAAATTTTCCTTTTAAAACTCTTTAGGTGAAGCGAAATTCATTTTCATGCAGAGACAAAGACGATGTTTTAACAATTCTTTTGTTTTATTTGGAGGAAAAGTTAACTTTTAACAACTACGTTTTCATTAAAGCCCGTTAGTTTTAAAAACCCTGTTTGACTTTTGGATAATTAAAAATATAAAACCATTTCTTATGAGAAATTCAATACAAATATATATAATATGTAGTATAATTTTAAAAAGTGTTTTCATTTATAATACACTAGTAAGGTAACTAGAATACACTAGTAAGGTTCAAAATATCAGACAAAATAGACCTTAGTCTTTTTTTATTGACAATTAGTGAATTAACACTAGATTATAAATAAAAATGTTAATTAATGATTATTTTATAGGTCAGTATTATGTATTGTGTGTACATTACCGTATAGTAATAATGGGACTGTATAAGATGCTCTCCACAATTAATCTCAGAGAATGATTCTCCGTTTTACAGCTATTTTATTGCATCTCTAATGTTACTGGCATGCTATACTCTGTTTGTTTTCTTCGATCTCAAGAGAGCAATTTATACGACAGTTCAGAGTTTAATCGTCGAGCATTTTCGTTTTCAATTTAACAAGTTTCCGTTCATTATTGCTTCTAATTAGTAATGAATGAAGGTCTTAGTTTTCGGAGTCGAATGAGAATCGAAATGGAGATTAAAACACTGCCAATATACCTCGAAATGAAGTTATTTTGAATTTGAATACTGGGAAATATTCGAACCTTTTGATAACTGTACTAATTGCATCTGTACTATTAATGTTTCGAAATTATATCATTGTTCAATAAAACGTAACCGTTTAACGTAGTTTAACAACTGCAATCATCTGAGATGTAAAATTTTAAGGTAATCCACAAACCTCTAAAGGCAAACAGAACTCAAACATCGTTAAGCGTCGTTCGGTCAATTTAAACTTGGGTCCGAGTGCGGTCGGACCAGAACTTGAAGTAGCTGTTCCCAGATTATGATACTGCATTTTAATGTAGTTTCTAAAGATTTTATTATTTAAAATTCAGCACAATTTGTAGCTGGAGTTTCGTAAAGACTTCTTAATTAAACAACTTATTTGACTAGAGAGTACTTTTTAAATTAAATTAATTTTTAATTTGTTCAAATACAGGTCGAGTTAAGACCTTTTTGGCGTACATTCTTTATGACTTTGAAACAGTTGAAATAAATATTTGATTTCAATGTCTTTTCTTTGTTTAAAAGACGCAATATAAAATTAAATATTCTTACCATAGCCAGCGTATCCACCACTGTAACCAAGACCACCGTAACCTGCGCTATACCCTAGTCCGTGACCACCGTAGCCCAGACCACTATAGCCTAGACCACCATAGCCCAATCCCGAAAGACCACGTTTTTCTGTTTTCTTTTCTTCTTCAGCGAAGACAGCGGCAACTAGCAGGGCTACGACGACCTATTGGATAACAAAAAATGTATGATTAATTTGTATTAGTAAAGGATTCAATTTATTTGTTTTCTTTGTGTTTCCGCTTGGTGTCGCTCTATTTGAATTAAAATATATGAAATCCTACTTTTCATCCGTGGGCCAGTGAGTCACTATGGATAATTGTGTGTACTTAAGAATGTACAAAATTGAGTGTCGTAACATCCTTTAAAGACAAAGAAATTACACAAGCCGTTATTGTTAGCGTTGTAACGTCCTATTATTTGTTAGAGTTCTAACTTATTACTGTTATTAACAAATATATTTTAGCTGGTTTTTATATTGACACGTTAGAAATATCAATTATTAATTAAATTTAAATTGTACTTCAAATTAAAAAAGACATATATATTTTTAATTTAGGTGCAAGGTTTTATGTATTTTTTTACCTTGGTATATTTTAATTATTTAATTTAAAACGACATTATTTTTGATTTTTTTTATTTTTATATTAAGATGACTTGTCATAAAAAACACATTTATGGAATCCTTACCAGGAATTTCATGTTGAAGTAGTTGTTTGGACACTGGACAAGTGACTGATGGCTGGTCTTCTCGCCAAAGGCTTTTATAGGAGGCTCGAGCGCGGACGCGATTCATGATTGAATGTTTTTACGAAGCCCAAGGATAATGGTTGCGGAACTCTGAGAGGGTTGCAAGAATTTAATTGTTATATTTCGGGTACGTTAGTTTTTTTCATTGAATTTAAAACACTTAAACTGTTACTATGGAATACTTTCTTATAACGTTTGAGAAGGGTTTAAAGTTAGATCAGATCAGTGCGAATGTGTGTTTAGTATTCTAGTGTACTTTGTATTAGAAAGTAAAGATTTTCTTAATAGGAATAGTAATATATGATCTGAAGAATGATTATGTTGTTCTCAAACTATTCACGAATGTCAATAGAAGCAATGCAAATATGTACATTTCAATAGTTAATCTTATATTTTTACCATCATTACAATAATTACATTTATTCAGTATAAATTCAAAGTACATAGATTTTAAATTACGATTTATTTTCCCTTGCATAATACTTAAATGACCTGACACGTGACACTTGATAAGTGTAATTGAATCGAAAATTACATAAAAGTTTGTTAATTTTGTCGAGAATTAATTAAAAGTGTAAAACAAAGCTGTTGACTTTTGTAATAAAGAATAAATGAAGACTTAAATATAGTTATAGTTACATTAATCATGAAATAATAAAAATAAAGAATTGTTGTGTTAAAAATAATGATAACGCTATGTCAAATGATTGAATGAGCAAATCTAGGAGTTTCAAGTCATTTGTGAGTCTTGGATCCTAGACTATTCGAATAGCTTAGCTCTTAATTGAATCAATTTGATAAAGCTGATTTAAATTGTCTCTGCACTAAGTTTAGAAAAAAATATTCTGTGGTGATACAACACTATATTTTATTTAATATAGACATATTCCTGTATAAAAAAAAATCTTTTGCTCTATTTAGTACGTAATTTTTTTTGTATGTAATGTATTGTAGTCTATATGGGATTTGAAAATATAACATGTATAAAGTAAACAATGAAATGCCGAGACATTTTGTGATATTTCTAAAGTTGTATATTAGATTCAATTGTATCAAATATTGAAATGTCAATGTAACAAACAATGCGGGTCGCAACCTTTGAATGTTGTTCAAATGTCCAACAAAGAATACCAATATAATGTTATTTACTTCACAGTCAAATATAATAGTTTTATTATAGTTCAAAGCTCGACTTAAAACCATTTGTTTTGTAAATTTTAACACGGTTCTTCACAATTGTGAGAAGCAATATATGTAAATATATAAAATATTAAACGCTCTATTATTATTTTGATGTAAAGTGTGCTATTTCTTATTGGATGCTTTGTCTACACCAGCCTCCCGAATATGTTGCCTTATATATAAATGTATAAATTAGAGTTTGACTTTTCTGAACTCATTCAAAAATTATTTTTTTATAACCCCAATTTCCTTTATACAGATTTATATGTAGAAACATAAAAATTACTTATTTTTTTGCTTAAACAATTTGGGAACATCAAAGTATTATTTTTAATTTTTCATTTGTAACATCGTCAGAGGTTGAACGCTAATAGTTTTCATTGTTACAAAAAGTCCTTGGAATTTACAAGTCTTAACGAGATCAAAACTGAAATATCTTATGTATGTATTACTTCTGTAATAAAAATTTATAGACCATTTAAGACTGTTGCTAAGAAAATTAATTCCATATTAGGTAACTATGACCCTTGAATATGTTTTGCAAGTCGATTATTCTGATGTGAATTTTCTGCCATTGAAATGTTGACAAATTCATATCATAAATGGTTTCATTGTCCGAAAGATTACTCTAAATTCTCATAACAATTGATAGTTTCTTAACTATTGGGATTTTTTTCAATAATAAGTGATTAATTTTCTTAACACAAAAAAGTTATGCAAATCCTTTGTTTCAAAATTATATTTCGATACGTAAAAACTTTTAGATTTGATAATATATCAAACAAAAATTTCATAACACATTCAAACAATGTGATAGGTCATAAAATATAAACAGAGGGTTCATTAAATATATTTTATACTTATTATTAAGTTTCAAAGTCACAAGTTTCTCATAGTCACTTTGTTCGAGGGACGTGAACGTGGTGACAATCTCACATAAAATGTTTTTCACACACTCTTTGAGGTGACTGTAAGTATGGGTTCATATTACATACTTCACATTTAACATCAACGTGTCTACTTATTACACTATTAAGGAAATATATAGAAGGTTTTTATGACCTTGTCTAGTATTAGTCAGTTTAAGAGCTAAATTAAGAACCAACAAACATGTGTATAATAATTCTTTTTGATCATCCTTTGGTATGTGATATTATTGATCATTTCTTTATATAGTCCATTAACAATCAGTTTTGTTACTATATATAAATAATTTCAAATCTATTTTAAGTTATATTAAATAAAAAATTGAAGGGATTAATTAATTATTAATCGACTATTGTAGGGGATGATAAAGTTAAATGTTTGTTAAATTTGTTCTGTTTTTTCATTCAAATGTTTTACAAGACAAATGCTGATGGGCAGGCAAGTAAGTAAGATGAGTAGATCTTGGAGACATGAAAGTCTGGATCCTAAATATATAACCTGATGGATCTAACTCTAGTTGTCAAAAACACTATACAGTCATTGCTGAAAAAATAAACAGTGATGTTTTAAAGTAATGTGAATGAAGTAAAGACATCAATACCAGATGTTTTCTATATATGTTTGGAGATGTCATTATCGGTAAAAGTCTCAATATATTTGGTCAGGACTCGTGGGTAGAATATTGAGATGGGTTAGTTGTATTATATTATTTCCATATACTTTTATATGTTTGGAATGACAATGTATTCTAATCTTTAAAAATCGATTCAATTATTTTGTTGTATCGGTTTAATTAAATAAAAGTTATTGTGGAAAGAATTAATTTCCTTAAATAAATAATGATTAATCTTTTCTATTGAAGATATATGTAGTTATCTTGGAATATATTTCCGTGTCTTCAGAAGCCACTAATTTCGTAATGTCTATTTTGCTGACAGATTTATTAATATCAGTCAAGTAAAGCAGCGTGCACCAGCTAGTTACAATAAAACAGGAAAAAATTGTAATTTAACACGTGAATATTGATGTATGCATAACATTTCATAAGAGTTATAGAGGGACACGACAAACGTAATTTGATTTATGGGTTGAACGCGGGAGGAACTGAATCGACCTAAACTGTAAACAAAGGTTATACGAGGTTTGTTCTGACATGTGACCTCTCACATGACTAGAAACTGTATAAAATACGCGTAAAAAATAAATCAATTATATATTGATTTTTTAAAATACCTCTGTTTGAATCTTGTTCTGCAGAAGATTTAAGAGGTCCGTAAATAATACATAATTATACGAAGACGTTTCGAAACAACAAATAATATTGAGATATACACAATTTATTTAACAAAGATTGATCACTCTAGTCAATTTTAAATTTATTACAGAATAAATTGCTTTAATAAAATTGGAACGAGTTGAAATCTGTCAGAGGTGTCTTTATGACAGACTAATATTTTTCATGTGCATTTTTCATTTAATCACCACTTATATTATAGTCTCAAATTATTACAACCACATCTTCAAGTTAAGGGAGAATGCAAAAGACTTCTGGCATAGGCTTTATAACATTACGACTATAATTTGTAGATTATTTTAAACAAAACAGGTGTTGTGGAAAGTGAAGAAATTTTGCGAACGAAAAAGAGATTTCGAAAAGAGATAAAATAAATTTCCGCCTTTTAACATAAATCTCAATGAAGCAGCTCCTTTTTTCAGAAGCAATTTACTGTCCAGTTTGTGCAACTTGGACAATGAATAACATTTGTAACGAAAATCTTTCCAAATAAAACGTAACAGTACATAAAATATAAATATTTTATTGTCATTTTCCGTATATATGAATTTTATTTTAAATAATAATTCAATTAATGAGATTTAAAATTTTTACCAGTCTTATTCATTTAAATGACTTTATTTTTGTAATAAACTTCATACTCCCGAAGTTTCGGCTATATTTTACAACAACCGTGATCCCGTGACGTAAAGTACAAAAATAAAGTCGCGTAGTGTAATCCGAAAAATATTATAATTTTAATATTATCTCAATCTTGTTAACTTTAAATTATCTTCAATTTTCATTAATGGTGTAATCATATATAATATACGAGGCATATCATGATCCGAGTAGCTGATTGTATATCGGAGCGGTTAGTTTATAGTTCTAAATGTAAATTAGACATTAGAATGAATTAGTCGTATTAGAGAAGGATTATTATAATTGTATGATTCTGTAATGTAATGTAAAGCATTAATGATTTGTACAAATATGTTAACAGGTGTTAAATGGATGTCTTATAGTATATTATTACATCTTCCACACGTCCACTGAGGTGACACATGCGGTAGTATATATTGTTTATTTTAAATGACTTCATTGATATGTAAAATAATAGTATTAATTCATATAGTTTTCGTGGAAGCCGATAGTTTTGAAAGCTTTTTCTGGGAAATCTTTTGGTGTTATAGTCAGTAACTTCATATCGTTTGTAAGAACTGTGACCATGATTACAATATTTTCTTGCAAAACGTGTGCCTGACGTATTAAAAGTTATATTTTGTTCAACAAATCAGTACCTTCGTAACCTACCGTACCTTAGTAATAATCTTTAGTCCAACCAGAATAATACATTTTACTTCATGTGTCAAACAATGATATGGATTTTTAGTTGCAGGATTTGTTTTCATAATTCTTCTTGGATGAAAGATACTTAATGTACAGCCAATGGTCAAAAGTTTTCTAACTCTCTTATTCTTTACAGGTTTAATAAAAATATGCATATTGGTAAAAAAATTATAATATAGGTCATTAATTAATAAAAACAGAAATGTTAAAGATTTTGTTTTGTGTCTACGATTTTAATTCTAGTTACATATTTCGCTGGAAGGTTTTTCAGCTCTTTAGACGATACCACACTTAAGATGGTGTTTCTGCTTTCA